GTGTTGCTGCTGGTGTAGCTAGGCTGCTACTGCTGCTGCTTCTGCTGCCAGGGTCAAGCTGCTGCTGCTGCTGCTGCTGGTGTTCGTTGTATCTGCAGCGGCAGCGGCCTACAGATGTTTGTCTTGAAGCAGAGAGGAGGCAGCAGTTAGCTTCGATGACTGCAGCTGGGATAGGTCATCGCTTTCATTCACAGAGCAAAATATTTCAGGGGCAAGATCAGGACTACAGCAGCAACAGCAGCAGCAGCAGCAGCAGCAAACAGCAACCGGATATGCAGGCAAGAAGCACTTGAAACAGCAGTAGCAGCACAAGCAGCACCGCCACCCCTTCCTATAGTTTCAGTAGTAAAAGCAGCAGCAGCAGGATGAATAGCAGCAGCAGGTGCTGCTGCTGCTGCTGCTGCTGCTGCGTTCTTTCTTTTTCTGTTGTTTGCTTTAAATTTAATTCGTTGTGGTTGTTGCTGCTGTTGTTGCTGCTGCAGCTGCTGACGCTGCATCTCCGCGGTTTACCTCGGGACATTCGAGAAGAGCATTTGCTGCAGCTGCTGCACGACGAATCTGCTGCTGCTGCTGCTGCAGCTTCTAATGATGCTGCTGGTGGTGAAGCGTCTCCGCTATCTTCTGTCTCTTCTCCTCCTCTTCGTTCGCACTTTAAGCTGCAGATTTTCAACAACCCAATAACTAATGAATGTACAGGAACTGCCAGAGTCACCTTCAGGTAATGCTGCTGTTGCTGCTGCTGCTGTTGCTGCTGCTGCTGCTGCTGCTCCTGTTGCTTTTGCCGCTGCTGCTGTTGGTTTCGTTGTTGCTGTTGCTGCGGCGGCGGCGATGGCTGCTGCTGTGAGCCCTGCTGCTTTTGCTGCTCCTGTTGCTGTTGGTCCTACTGCTGCCGCTTGTGCTGCTGCTGCTGCTGCTGCTGCTGCTTGCGTTGCTAAGCTTGCTGCTAACCTTACTACTGCTTCTCTTGCTGCTAGTTGTGTTGCTGCTGCTGCCTATGTTTATTTTCTCTGTTTTATTTGATTGACTTCTCTGCTTCTTCCTGGGTCTAAATCTCCCTGTTCACACATTGCTGCTGCTGCTACTGCTGCTGCTACTACTACTGTTGCTGCTGTTGCTGCTGCTGCTGCTGCTGCTGCTGTTTGTTTAGGCATTCGGGAGATGCAGCAGCGTTGGAGGCGTTGATGGGTCGCCTGCGGACTCAAAATATCACCGCGGAAGTACAATAAACAAAATTTCTACGCTTTAGTTTTATATAACATATGTATATATATATTATATAATGCATATTATATAATATATTCAATATATATAATATATATTATATATTATATATTATATATATGTATATATATGTGTGTGTGTTTACGTACAGTACTTATATCTGCTTATATAGATATATGTATATAAATGCATACATATATATATGGATGCTTTATGTATATATATATATAATATTTAATATATAATATATATAATATAATATATATAATATAATATATATA